ACCACAGAGATCAAGAGACTGGTAAAAACTCTGAGTCCCACAATACCCAGCCATTAATAGTTGTTTCCCCATGACGTCCCAAAACAGCAGCAGTATTTTTCTACGTGCTCACAGACTGCGCTGCGGAGGACACATTTTCATTTCACTCACCGCCGGACCGAGAGCGGCCGCCGCGTCTTCTCTGTTTATCTGACTCGCTGACCTCAACATGCTCACCTGGACGGCTCACAGTAGGAGTCTGGGAACAGACAACTGCTTAATCCAGAACAACTTGCTTGCTTTATTATGTTTTTCTTTCTTTGCGATGTTTAACTGTGTGATAGCTAATGCTAAATATTTGTTTAGCATTAGCTAATTTACTCTGACCACGAGAGCTTATTCTTTCATCAATGTTTTCACTACATCGCCTCTCACTAAATACAGATAAATAACTGTATTGTTCTTATAAAGCTTCTGAAGCTAAAGCCAGTTGCTTTGCTAATGCTAAGATAGCAGCCACCATTAGTTCTGTTTACGGCTCAGCTCATTCTGTTCATGCCGTAGCGCACTGCCAGCACTCATAAACGCATTGATATTGGTATTAATGGTAATTAAAGGTCCATGTGAGACTTGGAACAGGTGCTAAGCAGCATTTCAGTCACTATTTCCTTTGTTTTTTGCTGAGCTGCTAATTCCGGTTGTGGCATTACCGCGTCATACAACCGTCAACTATCTTGTGAGTCTGTGTTGATTATCTGTGGGAGGACAAACATTTCTTTCTCTTTGCTCACACACAGGCTGTGTTTGGGAGGATTTGTGTGTGGCCATACTGATCTTACTAGTAAAGAAAAAGACTTCATCTTCAAAAACATCCTTGAAGCCAAAGCAAAGTATGTAGCATACTGTCTGCATCTGGTGACTCTACCCAGCCGAAAATAAGACTAGCTGCCTGAAACTGATCGAGTTCCTGCAGAAAGAACCTGAAATATTTATAGATTCCCCAAGAAGAACTGTTGTCTCCAACTACTTCGATGAATCAGTTTCGTCTTTATTACCCCGACAGAAGATGGCGAGCTGCCCGGTGGGAGAGTGGGAAGACGGGAGTCCCAGATCGAGAGATACAGCTGCATCTTGTCTGTTCATTGGACCTGCTGAATTCAACATACTCTCTTATTCATCAGATGGGTTCGCAGTAAGAAGTAATGGAAATATTGTTTATTTTTTCATGTTTTTTTTGGTTACATAAACTACAAAGTACTCAACAAAAAATAAAGAGCAACATGCAAAACGTGCAAGAAGAGAATCACAGATCAAGATGGAGCAACTTCCAGCTTTGTCCAACATTTGAAGTTGCATAAAGAACGGTAGGTGGTACTTTCCATTACTATGATGAGACAGCTGACTCAGCTGTGTTTTTTGCTAGTGCTCTCCAGGCTATGCTGGTTTTCATACAGTTTTCGTCATGCTTTTTTAAATCCGGTGCTACATGCTCATCCATGAATAAGTTGCATCTCGTTAGTTTTTGCCGATGAATGATGAGCGGGGCTCTGATTCAGAAAGCGAGTTCTTCACTTGAACTTAGTGAGAGAGTTTATCTCAGTCTTCTCTCCATCACATCATTGAAATGGGTCCGCTGGAGGACAGATCATATACTTGATCTGCATCAGAGAAACATATTGAGAATAGATTTACTCCAGGCAGTTCATTTTTTACTTAATGTTTGTAAGTTCAGTTGCACATCTTTCATCGTGGTTTGAGATAAATTCAGATTTAAAATAGTTCACATTATCTATTCACATTTAACAAATAATTGCAACATTGTTAAAAAAGGCACAAAGGACTTGAAATTCCCAGTTTAAGACCTGGGACTTGTCTGAGACCTGACTCAGACCTTGAAGATAAAGACTAGAGACTTGCAAAGCAATGACTTGGTCCCACCTTCGGTTGTCACATTAAGAATTAACTTTTAATTCTTTTTAGTTATAATTTAGCAATTCACTCCAGGACAGTTGGTAAGCTACGATGTAGCTTAGCACCGTCAGCATGTGAATGTATTCATATACTGGATGAAGGACTCGGTGTAACGTGAAGTGTAACAACAACAGGCCATTTGCCACTTAAACATTCATATCCACTGAGTTTTGATGTCGATATACGTACTGTTTCATTTTTGCAATAACCTAAAGTTAGAAATTCAGGTAAGTTAATCTGAAGTTATAACCCAAGCCTGAATCTGATCAAGGTAGGATATTCTGATGTTTTGTTAATTTGTCAATGATGTGTTGCCTCCGATTTTATAAAGGTAGGTTTTTCTGAGGTAGGAATTTATTACATCAACATGTGCTTTATAAAGGTAGGTGTTATGATAAAGGGTTATAAAAATAAAATAAAATCAAGTTAATTTGTACAACATGTTTCAGCAACAAGGCTGTTCAAAGTGCTTCACATCATAAAAACAAGAAATACAAGGTCATTGAAAACAGTCAACAATTGAAGAAGTGCGTCAACATGTTCTGCATCTTTATTTTGTATAAACGTTGGACATTCTGACAGGTTTTAGTGCTTCAATAAGTGCTCCTTCTATATTCTCTAAAGTTAGGTTAAGGTATTTGAGATGAACTGAATTTAAATGGTGATCCTCCTCTCTAACTGACCATTCAAAAAGCTGTAGACCAGAACAACATTCACCCATTTGCACTCAAACTCACACACATTTATACACTGATACATTCCTCTAGTGATAGTGGACTGCTGCTAGCATTGAGTTGTAACAACTTCCTCTGGTGGAGAACAGAAGTAATTACATTGTTTCAAATTAATTACATTTGATTCCCAACACTCAAAAATTTAACTGGTTACCTGTACAGGGTTTACAAACCCCTGCATGTATAGAAAATGGATAGATAGATTGATGGACTGTGAGCATTTAAAAGAAAAGGACCTGGGATAAGAACTTGGTTATGTGTCTATGTAGCTCTAGCACATAAGATACTTTGTGCTGTTGTGATATTTGTAGGTCTTCATTCGCATGTTCTTGTACCAGAACACAATGAGCTGTTTCTTTCATCATTGTCTCTCTTTGGATATTTAGTTGTTTCTTTGTATCCTGTCTCCTTTCCCTGCTTCTCCAATCAGATACTTCTAATCTCAATCTCCTCTGTGGCTGGAATGTGCGCTCTCCTCTCCTGCTTCATATAATCTCCTGGAGGTGGTGCATTGAGGCCCAGCTTGACTTTGGTTGGAGTTACACTCCTTCCATGATCTCCTTCTGTTTTCTCTTGTGGAGCATCTGAAGAATCCTCTGTTGGACTCTTCATCCACACTTTCTCTGTCGTTATGACCTTTCTAAACTTGTCTATCTAGTTGACCGCCACTGAGCCGCTTATGCTCTTTAAGCAAGCTAGAGGTTTATGATACTGCTTATTTTGGTATTGATCTGATGCCAAGTAAATACAGGGCCAGTATTGCCAATACTGATACTTTCTAAAGGCAGGAATTTATTACTACCTTTAGAATAAAAAGAATAAAAAGGTAGTAATAAATTCCTGCATGTCTATTATGCAGGATTTTAAAGGATTTAAAGGATTTTAGTGCATCAACATGTGCTACATCTGTTTTGTTTTTTCTAAATAAAAGTAGTTTATAAAGCTGTTATTTATATATATATATATATATATATATATATATATATATATATATATATATATATATATATATATATATATATATATATATATCAGTTTGATATATCCTGAAACTTCTGACCTTTAGGGGGTTTTGTAGTTTTTCCTTTGAATTTAAAACCTAGAACAGAATTTAGACAAAGTTTAAAGGTGTTTACGGCACATTTTAATATGAAATAAAATTAAACTTCAAAGAAATCTGAAGCTAAATTAAATTCAGGTTATTCATATAGCACTAATTCACAACAAATGTGGTCTCGAGGCACTGACCATTTAAATTCTATCACGTATAGATTCCAATTGATCCTAGTTATCAAACGTGTAGTATACTCGATTAGTTATTCTATCTAGGGAAACCCAGCAGATTACAGTCATTGACTTGCAGCATTCAAAGTTAAAGTATTGATCTTACTACACTAGTATCAATCCGACACCAACTTGGAATCAATATTATCGATATTTTGAATGGATCCTCTGACATGTAAAATAATTTGCTGTTCTCTGTCAGACAGCCCTGGCCGTAGACTGCTTTCCTCTTCAGAGTCCCTATCAGTAAAACTAGTCCAAGAACAGGATTACTAGTGAACTGCAGCTTTTCACTAACATGGACTTTATTACCTGTTGTTATTTTAATGAGCAGCAGAGTTAGAAGAGTTTATTGAAGACCAGTCATAAACACCTGAAGAGTTTACTTCAATTTCTCCTGGGAACACTCCGCCTTTCAATCAGCTGCAGCACTGACATTAATTTTCTAAGTTAGTGCAGCAACCAAGAATATAATTTTTTAAAAGGTGCTACCAGGAGACAAACGCGTTTGGTTTCAAATTTGTTTAATAAAATCTTTAAAGAACAAAAATACATTATTACCATTTTGAAATAATCATCTTCACAGTTGCTTATACATGCAGTCTGGATACATTTATAGCTATGCATCTTAGATTACTTTGGAACATTCTTATTATTTGTAACTGTTTCACAATGTATTTTTATTGTTTTCTTTTCAAAGGACTGTTGTGAACACTGAAAGTATGTTTTCTGCCTAAAACAGTTTAATGAACCACTGTGTGGGTGGAAATGAAACTACAAATAAACAATTGTGCCAACAATAACCTCCACCATAAATAGTTATATGTGATATGGCATCTTTAATAAACCAGACCATTAATGTTTTCTGTATTCCTGTAATTGAGACATAACCTTTTTGATGTTTCATAATGAATTATGTAACAAATGATCAATATTTTCCCTCCACCACTTTTTGTTTATTTCGTATTACATGAAAAAAGTAACATGAAAGATTTAATCAGTTAAGTGAGAATAATGACCTCATCATTACGTCTACATCTGATTCTCTGCAAAATGCTGGTATTGTAAAGCTGCTCTGCTTCCCTCATCCATGTTTCTTTTAATTCGTTCCAGTTTCTGGACTTTCTTGTCTCCTTTCTCTTTCATCTTCTCAATCAGAAAGTCCAGGTGGACTAAAGTAGACGCTGAATCAACTTTCAGAGCAGTTTTTTCTAGTTTGACAACATGCTTGTAGGACTCATCCAGCAGCTCATATTTCTTTGCAGTCAAATGTTTTATTTTTGTCTCCAGACCTTCTAAGTAACTCAAGTTTTTCTCTCTTTCAGTTTTACTGTTTTCATATTTTTGCTTTATTTCTTTCAGAGTCATCTTTACTTTTCTTGTTTTGGTCACATATCTCCAATTTTCTTTCACATGATCAGATGTGGGACACTTCCCACTACAAACGATGCAGTGACCTCCTTTGATGACATCACAGAAGGCAGGACTTGGGGCCAGTATGCATCCAGGATAGTGACAGTTCTCCTCACAGCGAGTACAGCACATAGCTCCTTCAAAAGAACCACCTTTAAACCAGTTTTCGGCATTTAGAGGTTCTTTGACTTTGTAGGACTCCTCTATTTCTATAGTAAAATGTTCATTCTTTTTCATCTCTTCTTTATATTTAATCAGGTCATGTTGAATCTGTCTGATTTGCTCCTGTTTTTGTTCGGTTTCAATTATTCTTTGCTGCAGATTTTGAATGCAGGCTGTCAGTTCACTGCGTTCCTTTATAACAACAACAGTTGCCTTGACATTTTGAGGTCGCGCCTTTTCCAGAAAGGCAGTGAACTCTGTCAGTCCTTTCTCTGTTATCTTATTGGCCCCTTCCAGGTATTCTGCTGCTTCGTTCCGGTCTTCGCTCTGACAGTTATTAAACAGGAAGTAGACAGGCCGCTTCTTCTCGTCTTTGGCACACTTAATGGTTGAAACTTCAAGAGCTTTAAGGACATTGTTTGGTGTTCTTCCATTTGAGTGAGTGATGAGAGCTACGATGTTGTCTTCTATGTTTTTTCCAAACAGCGACATGATGGAATTCAAGATATACATCAGTCGGTCACTGAGACGATTATCGCTCGCTTTCATTACCAGACCCACTCCATGAATTGCATGAACACCATCCATTGATTGAAACAAGTCGAATAATCGCTGACTGATGTTAACATCATGTTCTATCCCTCTGGTGCTTCCAAATCCTGGAGTATCGATAATGCTCAGAGAGTAGGGTATGGCCTTACCTTCAAAACCAAATATTTCATAGACAATCACTTCAGATGTTTCATGGTCCGCCTCCTCCACGATTTGAAACCAAACCTCATCCTGAAACTTCACTCCCATGGTGAAATTGACCAGCGCATTGATGAAAGTGGATTTTCCTGCTCCTGTTTCACCAACCAATAGGATTGTTTTATGTCTCTTGCATCCATCTTTTTCACCAACTGTCAGTTTTGTCAGCTTTGCAGATTTTTCCTTTTTTGGCCTCAGCTGGTAAACAGATGGATTTCCTGATTGGATCAGAGCACTTTTGGAGATCAAGGTGTCCAGAGTGGAAGTCCTGGAAGAGGAACAAACTTACTCAAACCATTTTGAAAACTTATATAATGATTCCATCCTTTCAAAACTAGTTGTTAAAAGTAACAATGTTAAATATTTATCAAGCTTAGATTAAAGCCTTAAAAACCATTAAGACATAAATACTTAATATATGGGAAGTTTAAATCTACGAAGTACTATAAATTAGAATAACAGGTTGGATGGAATCAAAATAATAAAACCACCAAAGGAATATTAACCTAAAATATAAACATCAATACCTTCAGAGGGATTACTGGTTTTTTGCACTTGTCCTTTGCATCATGTCCTTTATAAACTAAATGTGCTTTTTACTGATAAACTGTATAAATAGGTTATTTAGGGTTCTATCTTTATGTTTGAGTGAATTTAGGTATTTTCATGTAAATTAATTTAGTTCTGAAATATTTTACCTAGAACTGTCTTAGTGATGGGCAAATAGTGCCTAAGCAGTTGACTTTTCCTATTGGTTAGAGTGGAAAAGCTTGGTACAGCCAAGCTCTCAGGTATAAAATCATCTTATTCAGACACAGAGCACCACCTGGTGGTGAGTCAGTAGTAGGAGTAGTGAGTTGATTGTAGCAATCATTGATACCATTTTTCAGCTTTTTCTAATGTCTGATTCATTTGCCATGTGGTGGATACGCAGTAGCTCAAATAATAAGGTTACAGGTGTTAGCAGTGTTTGTTAGGAGACCTGGAATTTGTCATGGATGTTTTAAACATTCAGGGAAGACAGTCGGATTCCTCCTTACGTACCTCACTGCTGCACTGCTGATGTCTAGAGAGGAGGGTTCTGCTCTCAGTTTAGTTCGAGGCAGAGGAGCAGGTGCACGAGCCGGTGAGGTAGGAGATGAAGGTGGACACTTTGAGTCACTAACTTTGCTTGGAGATTTACTGGAACATAGAACATAAGCATAAAAATCATCTATCTATGTTTAAGGTCAGTTTATTATGCTTTATTTAAGATACACCGGTACAGATTTGTATTTGTTCAAATTAAAAATTAATACAATATAAATGCAGCAGAATAATACTCATTTTCTGCATAAAGGGAAATCTTAGATGGCAATGGCACACATGCTAGGTATCTAATATCAGAAGGAGTATACAAGGAAAAGACTTGGCAAATTACTCTTGTTCCTGCTACAGATTCTGATGAAGGTTTTACGGGACTAAAAGCAAGGACAGACTATCGTTTTAAATACTTATAATACAAAATACACTAGTGGAGTATGAAATTGCAGAGAATATTTCCGGTCTAATTTTGAAAGTTTCTTTAAACTTTAATATTACATTTTCACACTGACGGTCTGAATTTAAACAAATATTAGAGTCTGTACAGATTCCATCACTGGTTTGAGTCGGATCCAATAAACACAGAACACACTGATTTTATCAAATCTTTAATTCACAGAAGACCGATATTTTTATGCAGAACACTGTATGACATAAATGAAAGGTGACTTGGGAGATATTAAAATTATTTTCAATAGATAGTTTGAACATTAACTGGAGTGTCTCAGTATATATACAGTGTCATAGTCAGCCACAACTTAATTTACATAATATCACATAGGAAAGAAAGAAAATGTACTACTGGCCCTAAATATTGATCTAAACTTAGAGAGGATTTCAAGTCTACCTTACAGCTAAAAATAATGTATTATAAGTCAAAACTGCACTTAAAATCGTATCAATATTATGTGGTATCAAAATTGTACCAAAACATATTTAAAATGAAGTATTTTTCCAATAGATTGTTCTACAGTCAGAATCATACCAACACAAACCTAACCATTGTTAAATACAATACACCGGTTACAATGAGTAATAATTACTGTTGAACATAATCATATTTATGAATATGTTGACATTTATTCAGACTTTTATTAGAATAGTGGAAAAGATTGTAAAAGTAACAGTTCCCAACATACTACTAATTTATCAAGTTTGTAGTCTTTATCACTATAAAGATACATCATCATTTTTGTTATATTTGTTGTTTTGCTCCTTATTACTCTGGTTTCTCATTACAAGAAACAAGAGATGCAGTCTCTGATTAATTATCCTGTTTTCTCTGATACTGCACATCATATTTTAAAGTTACATTATCACAAGGATAAAAAAAAATTGTTGAACAAATGATAGTGCAATTTATCAACTTAAATAATTAAATCATTTTCCCTTTATCAACATACTTTGGAAAATGGAAAACCTTCCTTGTTAAACTTGTCACAGATTTGTTGTGACTGTTGATTAGTCATTTTTTACACGGTTGTTACTCTGCCCCACAAATACTGCAGTGCTAATTTGGTCCCTTCATCCATTTGGATTCTCATCTTCTCCAGTTTCTGAACTTTCTTTGTATCTCCTTTCTCCTTCATCTTCGCAATCAAGAAATCCAAGTGAACTAAAGTGGTCACAGCATCGACTTGTAGGGCAATCTCCTCCAGTTTGATAACATGTTGGTACGCCTCATCAATGAGCTGGAACTTCTCTGATCTCAGTTTCTGTATTTCATTTATAAGACCTTTTACAATATTAAAGTTTTTCTCAGCATCACCCTTCTCTGTCTTTATCTCTTTCTTAGCTCCTACAGTCTTCTTAACCTTCTTGGTCTTAGTGACATATCTCCAGTTTTCCTTCACATGAGCTGATGCAGGACATTTACCAGTACAGACAGTGCAATGACCTTTTCTAATGACCTCACAATGTTGGGGACTGCGAACAAGTGTACAGCCAGGATAGTGGCAGTTCTCCTCACAGATGGTGCAGACCATTGCTTTCTCAAAAATATTTTGCCTGAAAATCTTTTGACTTCTCAGAGGCTCCTTTTCTTTGAAAACAACATCAACCTCAACAGTGAACGTCTCTGATTTATTCATGTCTTCTACTTGTATGACAAGAGCGTCATGAGTTTGTTTGAGTTCCACTTGTTTCTGCTCGATTAGTCGGATTCTCTCCTGCAGGTTTTGGATACAGGCTGTCAGGCTGATGCGTTCATTCAGGACATCTGTAGTCATTATCAGTTTTTGGGCTGTTTTCTTCTCCAAGAAGGTTGTAAAGGTTCTCAAACCTCTCTCTGAAATTTCAGTAGCAATTTTTAGAAATTCAGTTTCCTCTGATCGGTCATCACTTTGGGAGTTATCAAAAAGAAAATAAATAGGTTGATTCTTTTCGTTTTTGGCACATCTTATTTTTGTAGCTTCAAGAGCTTGAAGAACATTTTTAGGTTGTCTTCCATCTGAGTGAGTTATGAGAGCCACAATGCTTCGCTCCAGGTTTTTTCCAAATAGAGACATGACTGAATTGAAGACGTATGAAAGGCGATCATTCACTCGATTATCTGTGGCCTTCACCACCAGACCCACAGCATGAATCTCCTGAATTCCCTCATCTGATCGAAACAAGTCAAACAATCTTTGACTGACAATAAGATCTTTTTCAATTCCTCTGGTGTCTCCAAACCCAGGTGTATCGATGATGGTCAAAGAGAACGGCAGAGTTTGATCTTCGAACCCAAAGATCTCGTAAACAATCACATCTGATGTCTGGCTTTCAGTCTGCCCTCTCTTCTCATCTTCTACAATCTTAAACCAGACCTCATCCTCGAACTTCACTCCCATGGTGTGGTTGACCAGAGCATTGATGACAGTAGACTTTCCTGCTCCTGTTTCACCAACCAGCAGCACTGTTCTGTTGGCCTTGTTCAAATTTTTCTTTCCGAGAGTTTTCTTAGTCAGAGGTCCAAAGTCCTCTTTTTTTGTGTTTAGTTGGAAAACGGATGGGGATCCTGACTGGATCAGGAGACTTTCTGAGATGATGTTCTTGAATTTAGATGATGTATTCCTGTTGAAAAAATTAATAATTTACTAGCTTAAATTCCTCTCCCAAATGCCTTTTTAAATTAATATTAATATTGTGAAAGCCAAATAAAAATATACAAATTATGGTAATATATTATCATTGTATGCTGATGTACAATGGTACAGTATTAACATAGTTGGTAGTCAGGATGAGTGGTACATATCCTGCTTATTTTTAAAATATGTCTCACTTCCAGGTAGCCATTGCTTGGACTAGGTTATGTTTATTTGATTGGGTTAGGGAGAGCTGTTGATTTAATGGAGACTGTACTCATGTTCTGAGTACCCAGACCAGAATAAATAAATAAGAAACAATAATACTGAAAAGTACATAATGTTCATGTTGTTTAATATGTTTCCTTCAAGGTTTTCACTGGCACTTCCAGTCAGTGTTTTTATCCGTTTCATCCTGAAAATCATGATGGAGTAGTCACTGGATGAGAATCTGATCTAAAAACAGAAAATAGCCAGTCCCTAGAAAATAACTACTTTTGAAAATAATAAAAAAATCTCGAGTAAGAAGAATAACCCATCATTACAACCATCATAAGAATACAGTGGTGTGAAAAATATGTAGGTTTTTACTTTTTCTCTCCCTCAGTGAAATGCACTAATTAAAAATGGCATTTTGTGTTTACTTATGTTATCTTTGAGTAACATTTAAACTGAAAGATGTATGACAACCATGCAAAAAGTAGCAAATGAGAAAGGGGGAAATATGTTTCACCCCACTGTAGTATCTGTTTCAGTACAAAATGAAAGAAAAACAGTAGTAAAACATTAAGAACTATTGGGATATATATCTATATCAAATATTTTCATAAACTAAGCACTTCATTTTCTTAAGAATCACATGATTTTATGGCTTGATACTTTCTGAATTAGCAGCATATTGGGTTACAAATCCCAGATGCAGGAGTGGTTAGAGGTTCAGTACTGTTGGAGTAGAGTAATACAAATAAAGTTCTCTTTCCTGTTTGCTTTCTCTTCTTTATTATGAGGTCCATAATGGTTCAGGCTTGTTTCATGTTTTATTCAGCTAATTTTTGCTAACCGATTAGAGGCAGCAGCAAAGAACCTAAAACTTTAACAGGCTAAATTATGTTACATTCTTCTTACTTACAAATATGAATAAGATCAAATGTAATAATAAAATCAGTCTTTGAGAAGGCATTTTTTACCCTACCCTCTAGTATTTTTTACTATGAACAAACTTGTTATCGTAAAGCAACTTTAAAACAAAATGGTTAACAACTCCCCTTACATTCAGTATAACATATAGACATTTGTCCTATTTAATACTCTAAAACTATATCTTCAGATAATTTATAACTTTTCTCTTTATTTTAAAAAAAATCTTATTTAGTTTCTTTTACTATGCATAAATGATAAAGTTTGGAAACTTTATCATTAGAAACACGTTAAATATGTTTTTTATAGATTGATAAGTATAGATTTACATAAACTAACAATAGATGTTTTTACTTACATGTTTTGCATGGTGAAGTCTTAAAGTTCACTCCTGTGAGGTTGAAAAGAGTTTTTAATCAAAAACCAATAGTGAAGTCACTGTTTTTGCTGTTATCTGTTTTAATCTTATTATGTCAGTGTGTTAAAGTAATTAATTAGGCACACTGTTGTATACAGTTCACATTAGTGACCTAACAGCGAAAGCACAACTGGAATTAGCAGATGTCTGTTTTAAAAGATCAAATCAGCTGTAAAACCCTACGTTCATATTCATCAAATTGTTGAACATTTTTTAAGTGGTCCTTTAAAAATGTAATGAAAAAAACAAACATATATGTCAGCTTGATGTTTCAGTTTTTATTCTAACCTCCAAAATTCAGGTTCTAACATTAGAAAGTTTTCCTACCTGTGGAGACAACCACACACCTGCTCTAGACAATGCTCAGTGAGGCTATGAAGGCAGGAAGAGTGAAGAGAATCAGCATTCAGAGTTTTATATTCTGACAGAAGGGAGGAAACTGGTCACATGATTTCACTGACGCGTGTTTTTGTTCAGCAATGGTCCCAGAACTATGCTGAAAGCTTTCATTTGCTTCTTTACCTCCTCTGGCTGATGACGTTTGTCCTAAACCATGTAGCTGCCAATGAAACTGAGTCCAGCGTTTCATTCGTCAATATTTCAGTTTTGTTTTAAATAAACATATAACACTATCAAAATAATAAACTTAAATTTACATTTTTAGGCATCTGGTAATCAGTTTAACAGTGCTAGGAAACATTTATCTGTACAGTATTTTTATAGCATTTCTCAAGGCAAACATAAAAAATGACAAAATGAACTATTTTGTCTGTTTTTTTTTATTTAAACTCTTAATAATCTGTGAAGGAAGTAATGTTATCTGAATGATAAGCTTTAGATGTCCTGCCTGGCTTGAACTGCATCTCTCTTTTAGAGCTACCAACAACAAATATGTTGTATGTAAAATGCCTTCAAAGGACTGGACTTCTAAATCCTGAATTAAAACATTTAATTGCTTTCATTGCTAATGCATCAGGCTCACCTTTTATCCAAACTAACTGAGGAATGCTGAACCTAAGACAGTAACATGTGTATACAGTGGATAACTTGACATTTTATTTTTCTTGGCAGGACACCAGGCATTTCCACTCCTTGATGAAAAAACAAAGAAGTTGTATTTTTCTTTCAACTTTGTGCAGAATAATGAGTTTCTCATTTATCATTATAATTATATTAACATAAATCTTTTGAACTTTTTATTAGTAGAAGAAGCTTGACTGCCTCTTGTCAGTCAATGTTTGTGATTCAAGTCTGGAAAACTGAGGAAAAGATTTAATTTTGTACCACTTTGGTTTTTCTCTCCTTCAAAAATACTGAGATTGGATTTCGGTAGATTTCTTTTCTTACGTTGGAAAAAAATATGTCTCTGCAGTAAACTGAAACTAAATATTTTCATAGCAGCTTTATAGATTTTACCCTCATTGCTTTGCAGAGTCAGAACCACTGATCTGAATCTGCTGTTATGGTTGGTGTAGGCTGTGATGAGATAAAGCATTTTAAAATGCACAGCATTGTATCTAAGGTTTCATTTTTGGGCATTCAAACCATTGTTGAAATGTACTGAATAACAAATGTTATCCTAAGACAGATATTGTAGCCTTGTACTGAGACCTCATGATTCATTGTGATATATTTTATTTGTGGCTAATTTATTACTAGAAGTCGTTTTTTTTCTGAATCAGATTATAAATCTATTTATTGAAGTTTTAAGGACGTGATTGAAAACACAGCTCTCTGTAAGGTAAACTTTTCATATGTCATGTTCAGTGGTTTCTTCATATATTTAGGTATTCAACATATTTTTATTACCCTGTTAGCAATTTTGCTGAATTATAAAAATATGTTTATAATGATTGAGAAGACAGGCCAACATGCTGACAAGTTTGATTAATTGGAAGGATGATGTTTCCTGACAATAAAAGACTTTATAAAAGCAATACTAAGGTTTTTTCCAGTGAAAATGTGTGTTTATAACACATCTATCTTTGTTTTATTTAAACTTTGGTAACTGCTGAATGTTTCCATTTATTTACTGCATTTGCTTTCACATGACCTGTCACAGCATCTCAGGCTTGTGGAGAAGCTGGTTGTCTAAATGTTGAAGGCCTACTTTGCTCTACAACAAGGATACCTGTATACAGTAGATGGTTTCTTGATTGGCTCTTTTACATCAGGGATCCATCTGACATCTAAGTGGACAGGTTAGAATAGTTTTCTCACTTCTACAGAACTTAGGGTCAAAATAAAAAATGTTTTAATGATACTAAACATTTCTGCTCCATTGTATTGATAGTGTATTGTACATACAGTTTCTGTGGCACCAAAGTTTGACTTGATTCCAAGCTTCTGACTGTCAGAGCTCAGTAGATTTAAAGAAAAGTTCCCCAGAGGCAGAGGAATATATTGTTTGAGTCTTTTAGTTGCCTTGATTCTAATGAATGATCTACAGAGCAGCTATAGACACTTATTTAGATAAACTTTGCAAAAGGAGTTTATGTCTGCTCCTAATCCAGAGTTTTGTCATTGTATTGGTTCATTGTTGTATAGTAAAAAGAAGCAAAGTCTTTTTCAGCTATTATCAGCTTTGAGACGGTTTGTTATCTTTGTAAGGTCAGATGACAGTTGCTTCATACAGAACCACTGTACTGAAACACCCTGCTCCGGGTGCTGCCAGCCGTTTTCAGATAAAACATTCTGAATGCCCAGCATGGCACGCAAGACATGTCACTTCTCCAAACATCTAAACTAATTTTTTTATGATAATGTGCTAAACAAGGATGAATAATTGTATCATCATTTATGGTTTGTTTTGTTTTTCTGCTCAGTTGTCTGCATTTGATTTAAAATAGCTTTGTAGTTCCTGTTATAATCCACACATTAGTGCCTTTAAATTATTTTTGTGATTTGAAAAAAATCTGATCTCAGTCACAAAATCTCAAACATGTAATACTTTTTTGTTTATTTTGAGAAACAAAAAAAATTCAAGGCACCACATAACGGTTTAATTCCCATGTAGAGTTGCTTATTGCAAAATGCTTGATATTTGTTTTATGTCAGAACAACCAATTATCTGCTGTTGATGTTTTCTTTATAATATACAATTTAGCATCTATCCTGATGAGTAGTTGAAAGAAATTTTCTTACAGATATGTCACTTGTTAGGAAAAATGTTGTCTGACAGCAGCACAATGCTATCACTTTAACAGAATCAGTGCTATCTTCACATTCCTCTCATACAAACCCCAACATTGTTGGCCTCAGATGTCTTTAGATGGAGCATTTTAAAATGCACAGCATGACACATACCAACAAAAAAAAAAGTCACTATGCGACCTTGTACGTGCTGCTGGTTGACCTTTGTCTATTAGATTCATTGTGATCTTTATTTGCAGTGATCATAAGATCACTTGCTGTATGTAAGGCATATGTTCAAATAAATATGTTCATAATTACATGTGGAGATTGGTCACTTTCAAATTAAGCCATGAAGTTTGTGTAGATGAGCTTTTTTAGGGCTTGTTTTAGTATGAAACACTTAATGACTGACAAGAAACAATGGATGTCAAGAACCACCTTGTACTAATAGACATGATTATAATGTAGGCCTGGTTTTCTTCCAAAGGCTTTAGGGAATTTGTTGCATTGCACAGCATGTGCTTTTTACACTATCAAGTAATTGTTCATAAAAATTGATGGGATCACTAGCAAAATACACCATGAGGTTAAGCAGATATAAGGAGGTTTGTCTTTTACATAATATTTTACATACCATAATGAAAAACCAGAGAAGCAAATCTGATTTGCAAATATGTTTCTAATCAGGAAATATGTTATCTTCCACAGTAAACAATAGTATCTCTTATGTATGTATTTCACCATGTGAACAGACCTGTTTGAGACACCCTACCTGTTGACAGTTAGGAGTGTCCAGATAAGGTTTTCAGAAATGCATTTCATTTTACAAAATGAAACTTTGCTTTTCAAACTGTTTAAAATTTACTCATCCTATTATTATGCTGTATTATTGTATGAGAAAACTCAGTGAGTATGAAAAAAATACAAAGGGAGCATTCCAATTGGGTAACTGACTAAAAAAATATTCAGACATCGTTATATTTTTATGTTTTTAATGAAATCCAATTTATTCATGAATACATCCAAAAACATGACTGGCATGAACGCTTTACATGTAGATTACAATATGAAGTGGGGAGCAATAGGAGTTTAATTGTCAGCACACTGCTGTCTTAATCCTGTGCAGGAGTGTGACATTTGTGGAGTTAAATACAGCTGTTGTGTTATACTGCATTGCATATGTATTTAATAGGAAAAAGTGGAGACAGTTGTAGTTTGTCTCACAGTCAGTGTGTTGCTGGTTTGATTCCCACTGCCTACCTCTGTCCATTCAGTTCTAATTGCAACTAAGTTTTTGCTAGGCACACAGTTCCATTTAATAGCATAATGAAGTAACCATGTTACCTTCAGTGGTAAAAATCCCATATATATCAAATAAGATTTAATGGAAATTGACTTTATGTGAATGCCTTGAAAATGGGCTGCTGTCTCTTTAAAAACTCCTAGTGTGTCAAAGGCATGGCTGTGTCCCCCAGGCATTTTGCACAGCTGAACAGTTGAGATTGATTTCTCAAACATAGATGAAAGGACCAAGACAACACTGAGTATGTTTTTCATGAGAATAACTTTAAAACATATATTGCTCAACACAGTCAATTTTACGTAGTACTGCCCCTTTAACTTGAGAGCAAATTACATCTTGTGTTTAATGTGTTTCTGTCTAGACTGTTTCAAGGTAAAACTTAAAACACAAATGACCAGAACAAAGCTTTTCTCAGAGATTTATTAATCACATTTGTGTTCATATTCACAGAACATCAAGTAATCACAAATAGAAGAAAATGTAGTAAAATTGGAACATAATGTCAAACACACAAAAATCTAATAATTTCTTATGATCCCAACACATTTCTAAGAATAATAGTTTATTAGGAAATTGAAGTAAATATAAGTAAAAACAAAATGTATTATTTTGTAACAAAACAGTTGAAAATCAAGAGTAAAATAGTTCATGTACTTATAACCATTATCATGGTGCTGCTGTTGTGAGGCAATATAATTATATTATGAACATTTACATCATATATAATACAATCATCAAACTCAGCCAGAAGAGTAAAAAACTTTGTGCTTCTCCAGCTGTTTATGACGTGCCATCAAAATTAGTTGATGGCAAATCTAAACTCTCCATGCAAAAGCAGTGTAAGATTGACTGACTTGTTTTGATTTCACATCGAAGTTTGAAGAATCCACATAGATTTTTTTACCAGCAATATGAAAATATTTTAAGATCCCAGATAAACTGTGGCAACAGTGAAGAGTTGTCGATAAACTGCAAGAGCACTTCACATATGATTAAGTATGGAAAGCACCACTGTCATCTAATCACATTGCTATAGCTGATGGGTAGTTATAAACATGTTACAGTGGTTTATAAGGACGAGTAGGATTTTTTTTAGCAGTTTGGATTTTCATATCAAAGGAATTTTTATTATTTGATCTTTTATATTGTATTTAGTGAAACCTAAGTAAATAGAAACAGATATTATTCTGTATCAGTTTTTAAGTTACCTTTCTGTTAACATAAATATTTTGTTTGGTGTATAAACAGGGTAAGAATTAAAGGAAATTGGAAAATGATCAATTCTGAAACCTGACCTTGCTGTGCATTGGCTGGTACCTCATGTCAACAGTGGTTTGTTTTTCTGATAGTATTAGTATTTGTTATTTTCTTGTGGTATTGCACTGAGACTTTAACATTAGGAATGTGTAGAACGGTGTTTTATGTGCTGCATGTATTTGCACTGAAGTCTATTTAAATGTATTTAACACAGCTTACATGAGGAACAATTGTTATGACATGAGAAATTGAGCCAGTGTTTTCATCCAAACATTTGCATTAATTCAAAGATGCACTCTTAAAGGACCCCATTTAGCTGATACCAGTTTTGCTACTTTAAGGCCTTTTGAATTTTTTTGGTAGTTGCTTTCATTTTACCCCACATAGACTGAATGATTGTTCTGGTTCCTTCATCCTCTTTGCTTTTCATCTCCTCCAGTTTCTGAATTTTGTTTGCTTCTTCTCTGTCATTCAGCTTTTCAATCAGAAAGTCATATGGGACAAATGTGGACACTGAATTAACTTTCAAAGCAATCTGCCCTAAATTGTCAATATGTTGGAGGGCTTCTTCCAGCAGCTGTGACTTTTCTGCTTTCAGCTTTTTCAAATCTTTCTCAAGATTGACCAAAAAATCCAAACTGTTTTCTCGTTTTGACTTTCTTTTAATCTCATCCAGGCTTTTCTGAACCCTTTTTGTCTTGTTCACATATCTCCACTTCCCTTTCACATGAGCAGATGCAGGACACTTTAAAGTACACACAGTGCACCGGCCATCTTTCATCACCTCACAGTCCTCGGGCTTTCTAGAGGTTGAACATCCAGGATAGTGACAGTTCTCCTCACAGATGGTACAACATACTGCCCCTTTTACTAAAGTCATTAACCAAATGTCTCCTTCAATGGCTTCTTTGCCTTTGTAGGCTTCATCAAATTCTACAGTGACCTTATCATTAATTTTGTTCTTTTCATGTATCTTCAGAGCTTCTTTAATTTGTTCAATTTCTGCCTCTTTCAGCTCAGACAGACAGATTCTTTCCTCCAGGTTTTGGATGCAGGCAGACAGTCTGATCCGTTCATTGAGAACATCCAAAGTCATGTCTAGTTTTCGAGGTGCAGTTTTTTCCAGAAAGGCAGTAAAGCCATTCAGTCCTCTCATTGTTATTGTATCAGCATTTTTATGATGCTCTTCCTCTATTCGTTCTTCGTGTTGGCAGTTATT